ACTCCAAGATGAATGTGGGCTGGCAGTGTGGGGTTGCAGTCAGGAAGGCCAACCGTACCTTGTCGTGCATCCACAGATGCATCTTGAGCAGGTCCAAGGAAGTGATACTCCACCTCTATGCGGCCCGGGTCAGGCCGCAGCTGGAGTACTGCATCCAGTTCTGGGCGCCGCACTTCTAGAGGGATGTGGACAACATGGAGAGGGTCCAGAGGAGGGCCACTCGCATGATCAGGGGGCAGCAGGGCAGGCCCTACAAGGAGAGGCTACGGGACCTGGACCTGTTCAGCCTCCACAAGAGAAGGCTGAGGGGGGATCTAGTGGCCTGTTACAAACTAGTCAGGGGGGATCAGAAGGCACTGGGGAAGTCCCTGTTCCCTCGTGCACTGCCAGGAGTTACCAGGAATAATGGTCACAAGCTGGCAGAGGGTAGATTTAGGCAAGATATCAGGAGGTGCTACTTCATGGTCAAGGCAGCTAGGATCTGGAACCAACTTCCAAGAGAAGTGGTGCTGGCTCCTACCCTGGGGGTCTTTAAGAGGAGGCTAGATGAACACCTTGCTGGGGTCATTTGACCCCAGTAATCTTTCCTGCCATGGCAGGGGGTCGGACTAGATGATCTACTCAGGTTCCTTCCGACCCTAGAAACTATGAAACTGTCTTAGAAGCCACATCCAGGTGACCCAGAATGAGACTGGCTTTACCAGAGGTGCAGGGACTTCCTTTTCCATGAGGGCAAAGTGTGTGTGTGTGTGGTGGGGGGCACTCACAGACATATCTGAGGCTCTGGATGATGTTCAGGGCCCTGGGGGGTTAAGGTAGGGAGGCTTCTGGGTCCTAGTAGCAGTGGGCTCCAGCTTGGCAGAGAGGGCAAGGAGATAAAGGGTCTGCCCTGGGAGCTTTAGGTTCCTGGCAGCTATGGGGAAAGATGTTAAACTTCCAGCTAAGGAGGTAAGCCTCTCATCTGCTCCTCAAAGACACTACTGCATGATATGCTGAGCAAAGAAGTAAAATCCCCTATTCAGCAGCAGGGCCCCCTCTCTGTCTTCACCCCCTGCTTCTTTTCCCCAAGTACTTAGCTGCCAGGACCTGAGAGCCTTCTGACACCAATGCCCCACTCTGTTTCATCTCCACAAAGTCCATTTCTGTAGCTGCTGGACTAGCAGCGTAGCTATACCCAACCAGCATCTCCCAGATTTGGTTTCAATGCTCCATGTCTTAATCAATGCCTGAGGCTTGTGTCTCCCTTGCCCACCCCTAGTTATGGTACTGGGTTTTAGCCAGTTCAGTTTGCCTTACTGGGCTGGAAGAGAGGAAGGCCTCAGGATAAAGATAGAAGACAGAATAAAGAGAAATGGGCTGTCAGCCTTCAGTAGGAGGAAGGAGAAAATGTCATATGTCTAGTAAAAGATCAATCCCCAATTAAGTTTCACAATACAAAATTCTCAATTTTAAAGCCTTTCTGACCCCCAGAAAATGAGTGGGCTTTTTGCTTTGTTGCTTTTAATACCAATTCCCCCTAAAGTTAGGAAGCTACATAAGGGCCCTTTACTTTGGTGTGCTGCTTTTCCTAGGCATGGAATAAGTTAGAAGGTATGTATGAGCGGCAACACAAGGCAAATCTGTTATCAAAAAGCTGTGGGAATAAGAAGCAAGATTTACTTTTACCACAGCATGGCCAGAATGTGAGAGAAGCATGTGTGATTTTCTGAGGACAGCAGTAGGAGGAGGCAGGATGGCACAGTTAGCCATGTGGGAGGTTATTGTGTGAGTGACTGATGAGATCAAGAGCAATATGCCTGAATGTGGGAGGAGTCGGACAGAGGATACTGCTACAGGCAGAGAACCATTTAATCAAAATAGTTTGTGACCCAACAGGGAAAACAAAGCTGCTGGGAAGAGGCATAAACTGGTTCTGGGATCACAGTCATGAACTCTTGTCCTGTCCACTCTTTGTAACAGGGGTGCTTTTGGAATTCAAAATGCTTCCTTAAATTTAGATTACCAAAAGTAATCCAATCCAATCAAAGCTTGGCCACAGGGCAATTTAATGCCACTTGCTTCTTGCTGTTTGCTAATGCTTACTAGAGCGAGCATGTGCCTCAGAATATGTCGGTCCACAGCCTTGGTGTCCATTTCTTATGCCTTGGGGATATTGGATGTCCATGTAACTATGTAGGTAGATGGTTTTCAGTCTGTGGACCCCTGGGGGTCCACAGATTATGTCTAAGGGCATCACAAATGATGGCTATGATCAATCAAAAGTATATGAATACCCACACTTACAATTCAGAGGAGTCTTCACCTCCATTCAAGATTTTTTAGGGGTCCACAAATGAGAAAAGGTTGAAAACCACTGATATAGGTTAAAAAAACCCAAAACAAAACACATTCACTTCTTTTCGGAGCTGGTAATCATATTGTTCCCCATCCTATTTGAAACAGCCAGCCATGCAAACTCCTGGCTTGATTATTGGCACTTAATATCTAGGAATGAGGCTACACAACTTGAGATAAGCTCCAGTAGTGCTGAACATGATGACCTGTCTGTTATCAATGCAGGAAAGTGTAAACACACCACCCAATATATCCCCATATTCATATCAGCCTTTGGGGTTGGCTGTGACTCCCTGAGAATTTGCCTCTTCCTCCAAGACTGCAGCCTCCCCCAGAATTCATGTTCTAATCGGAACCGTGAAATTATCAACAATTAGAAATGGAGTTGTGGGTCTAGGGGACGACTTTCAGAGACCTCAGGCCCAAGACTCTAAAACTTGCTCCTGAATGAACCCAAAGAGACCACAGGCTTCTTAAAGGGCAAAGCCATCTCTTTTTGATTTGCCTCTTCTTAAACAACTTTTTTACACGCGTCCGTATATACTCAGAACTCTCAGAAAGAACAGAACATGTGCAGTCTAACATCTCCTGGTTGGGAAAGGAAAAGGAGATTAGCATTGTTTCTGTTTCTGACTCCTTATCTGTCTTCACTTCTGCAACAAGCACCTATCAGTTGTCTAGAATGATCACATTTAGACTTCAATAAATGGGCTCAGAGATCAGACTTAGGCATTTCTGTTTTTAGGAAGCTTTCTGTTATATGATAGATATAATATAATAGGATTTGTAAAGGAATTTCAAGTTAACTTTTTGGTCTGAGTTATGGCTATTGTGCTCATTACAGTAGTGGTACCATTTATACTTGAGACCCTGTAAGGTACTTGTTCTTAAATATTTTTCCATTACCTAATATGTTTACTAGCTCAGACCTATAGGGTAGGGAAAACTCACAGTATTTTGACTTCAGTGACCTATGTTGTTCTATAATGCAAAAGTAGAATGTTCCCAAGTAACAAGATTCCTTCCTTTTATTTTTCCAATAACAGCCCAACACAGGGGATTGTAAACAAAGCTTTTGGCATCAACACAGACTCTCTGTATCATGAGCTTTCCACAGCAGGATCTGAGGTCATTGGGGATGTGGATGAAGGAGCAGACTTGCTAGGTAAAAGATATTTAAACCATTTCTGTTCTCCTGTAGTTCTGTGTTAAAACTGAAATAGGAATAGAAAATATTATGTAAGATCCAAATTTCATATAAAATTTGAATTTTATATATATGAACTTTATAAAAATTAAAAAGGGATTGAATTTGAGACAATTCATGAATGAAATAATAATAATAATAAAAAATGCAATTTTCATTCAAATACTTGGGGCCCCTGAAATGTTGGGACTGTATTTGTGCATATAAGTTTGCTTTTGTATATGATTCTCCTGTAGAAACTCTCTGAAAAACACATATATTCCCTTCTGTTCTACCAGCAATAACTTTGCAGACACTTGTAAATTAATTTAGAATGATATTGTCATTTTTTTTTGCAGGGGGGAGGGGTGATATGGGTTTGACAATAGCCCCACTGTTTGGCAAGGAAGTAACTAATAAAGACTTAAATAAATGAATCTGAGTTAATCTGCAGGAACATGGTTTCCCATATCATGTCTTTTACTCTACTATAGTTTAAGCAGCATGCAGGACACTTTTTAAGCCAGTCTTGAAAAGGGGTTTACAATATCCTGAGCTTGCCAAATCCCCTGAGATGCCTGAGCAGGACTTTGGAACCACCAAAGAAGATACTATACATCAGACTGCAGACTAAGCCTAATGCCTGCTTGGGTAGGTCTTTGGGTGGTTAGCCCAGAGGGAAACAATGTAGCCTGGTGCAGGGGAAGTTACAACACACAAGGGTAGGGGAAAATTTTGGTTGCTGCCATGGTGCCGGTGCAATTGTGTGGTTGTGGCAGTAGCAGTTTCCCCCATTCCTCCCCCCCACCCAGTCAGGACCTGGGGCAACTTCCCCAGTCTCCCTGCCCTAGTTAGGCTACTGGCCTAGGCCCCAAGTAATGACACCATTTAAGCTGCGCCAAAGTCTCAGTGAAGTTAATCAGATGCTTAAGAACCTTGCCAAACAGGGATGCTTTCCTGACTCAGGGCCCTAGTGAATACTTATGTAGTACAGACATGAAAAATTAGAGTTTATAGATACATGTCCTACTTCCAGATCTCAATGGCTTGATTTAAGGAGCTCTTCACTAATTTGAGATGTAAGAGGACCTTCCCAAAATGCCTTCAGTGGTCTGAGTGGGAAGAGCATGGAGTTCGGAGGAAACAGATTTTCTTTCTGCTGGTTTCTTGTGAGTGGGGAAATGACAAAGGCTTATTGGTTGCATCCTCTCTGGTGCTAAAAATAGTTTTCACCAGTGCACTTGTAGATGTGGATTCAACCAAGCCAGTTCCTAGTCTTGTTGCAAAATTGCAGCAGGCCTTTTCTGCAAAAATAAAATAAGTTGTTTAAATCACTTTTGACTGGAATAGATAATGAGCCTTGCATTTAGACATTCTGAGGCCTTTGAGGACATTTTGCTGCATAGTTGATGGTTTAGTACTGCAGCACCTAACCACAGTAAAAGGGAGGTAAGGCTGGAGGAACAGCTTCAGCTTCTATTTCCTGCTTATTTTAGCATGTGTGTTGTATTCAAACTTAAAGCTACATTATTATAAGTAATCGTGTGAAATTAACATATTTGGGATGTGAGAGATCCCAGAGTAAGCAAGACTCAAACTATTGTGGGGTGTCATTTGCACTGGCTGTTTGGTGAAAACTGAAAGTTAATCCCTTCCAAAGCCTGGTACTTATTCTATAACACTCACAAGAGCTGCAGTTGAATCCATAGAAGCAAATCATGAAAATGCTGGTGGTTGTCAGGAGACTTGATGAATTGCTTGGTTACACTCCAATTCAGGATGAGTCAAGAAGTTGGGAAGATTCCCTTGGTGAAAACAGCACCTTGTTAATGAGAGACTTGGCTTTCATTTCATGTGGCTGGAGGCAACACCTATACAGATGCCTAAAATAGTTGTGTTTATCAGCTCTTATGGAAGAACAAGTCTGCTGATGTACAAAGCACAAATTCTGTCCATCTCAGGAGTGCTGTTTTTCATTGTTGTAGAAGATGTGACACTGCTACTCAGAGTGAAGGAGCCATTAGTAAAAACTGTCCTTGGATGTTAGAGCTTCATCTCCCTGCTCAAGCATGTACTTTGGATAGTCACCTTGGCATAAACTGTTGGCTACAGTCTTCTTGGAAGAGTCGAACAACTGTGGTGACTGAGAATCTTGCTGTTGTCCATCTGTTGTGTCCTTGTCCCCATGTGCTTCCCTTGTCCATGGGATTGCTTGGCCTTTTGTGTGGCAATCTGCAAGCAATCGCAAGTATTTTCAGTGTGGATTGCTGCTTAGTATTGCTGGCTTTCTACTTGCCACAAAAACCTATTGGACAGTAGGAAATACGTATCGATCAGGAAAAGGCAAACTCAGCTTATGGATCATTCAGAACAGCACATTCCCCCTCACATCTTGTCAGCGTAGAATTTTGATTCCCATTGATTAAGGTCTGAATCTCAGGCATCTCACTCTGATAATCAGGTTTAATGCATCTCAGGTCGAGCACTCAGAATCAATTTGCAATTTTTGGCCAGTGGGGGTTTTTTTTTGTATTATTTGGAAGTATTGGGAATGGATAATCAATGACTATGCTAGAGATGGGACACTGGAGTGGCTTACACAGTGGTGATGCAGGAAGATCATAAGGCATGGGATTTCTACTTTATACTTTTTGAGTGAGCCCTGAATTCTTAGTGAATCCAGGTTCAATTTATTTTTAATGTACCTTTGGAAACTTCTGTTAATATTAAGACTTGGTGCAGGTAATCAGATTTTTCTTTTCAGCAAATGTCCAGTTACCCAAAAGCCACAACTGCTAGCATTGTACAAGTTTTCAACTCAGCACCTCAGTCCTGGCCTGTGATTGAAATTTAGAATAGACTTTGCTTTGTTTTATTTGGGGGGCATCTCTTGTGTGGAATATTTCAACTGTGATAAATAGCATGGTGATTTTATTGATCAGCAACCACCTGAAATTATATTTTGATAATCAAATTCCATTTCAGTTGAGAGTTAAGTCAGTACTTAATTAGCCACGCTTTTAGAGTAACCATCTAATGCATCAAGTCAGTTTGCTGCATGTACCTCTTCAACCTGGTTGAAACAATGTTAGCCACAAAACTGTAACACTGTCTTATAATTGTTTGTTGTGCAGCATTCAATGATCATGACTCTGGAAGAAAGGCTGTGAAAACTTTTCCATCTTGAAATCGATTCCATGGGCAAATTCTTCATAAACTACTTCTTTTCAAATCTTTACCAAAGACTGTGTTTTCTTTTTCTCCTTGCTGCTTACTTAAATGGCCAAAAGGAAGATTTTTAATCTCTGAGCCTCTTTTGCTTGGAACTGATGTTTCTATTTACTCCTCTTCAGTGAATTCAAAAACAGATATGTACCAGAATATCTTCTGGCTCCCCTGCACTTTCAGGGTTGTTATTTGGGACCAGCATGTTCACTTGTGTTGTTTGTAGGTTGTTCTTTCTGTGAGTAGGTCTTGCAGTCAACTCTTACTGTAAGTGAGTATGGAGTTGCTCAGTTCTTCAGTTAGTAGGGAGACTACAGAAGCAGCAGCCTAGTGTAGAGGATGAAACACTTAGAATATGCTCTACAAAAGGAAAACCCATTTTACAAAAGCACTGAGAGCCCAACTGCAAGGAAATCCCTTGGCTTCAGTACATTAATTTAAATGACAAACGTAGTATAAAATGTATAAATAAACATGCATGCGTGTGTGCACACCTCTCCCATTTGACTTGCCTAAAAAGTGCTACCCTATGCTATGTCAAATAAAATAGCATTCCAAAGTAGACTCTTGTTTTACATTTCCCTGTCCTGAATGTCTGTTCTTCCTGTGGAAAGATTCACCCTTCCTATAGATCAAACAGGAGCATGGATATGCCACCAAGAAAGAATTCTGAAACTCTGCAAAAGCTTTTGTTTGTCCACCTTACATAGCCAGTTCACTACATCACAGTACCAAGAAAGGCATTTTAAAGTGTGTCATCTCGAGCATCCTGGGACAGATTTTTTTTTGTTTTGTTTCAGTCGCCAGCTTTTCACCAATTCTGCGCCTGGACAATTTTCTGGCTCTGACTAAAGCAGCAGAACTGCTATGGTTTGTCTGTCACTGAAGAATGGATATAGTCTGCAGTTACAAAGCTATAATAGTGATGGTAGACCATTTGGGTAGGGGAAGCTTTCCTGGATTTCCTAATAGGCCCAGGAAAATGGCATATCAGTTTCCTGAAGATCCTGTCAACCTCATTTTCTTCTATCTAATTAATCATGAATTTTAGAAGCCGTTTGCTATAAATGCTTTCTCTTATGGACCAAAGGCTGATTATATATTTTTCCCCCTACCCACAGGCACTAAAAATCCTGAGCATCACTGATAAAACTGCAATCTGTAGAAGTAGTAGCATGATCTTCTTCCTGTTAAATCTTAAAAATCATATGAAAGTTTTGTCCCATCAGTATCATTCCTCTTTTGTTCTGCTTGTTCACTTTTTAATCCTGTGTTCTTACTGTACCTATTCTGGAAATAGCCCTCCCCACTCACCCTCGTCTTGTTCTGACTGCCCTGTAAGAATCTGGCACTGAAGGGTGAATGACCAAGGGATGGTGGTTTGGGGCTATGGGAAGGTGTTTCCTTTCACTTCTAGGTGACATGGCTGTATTTGCTTTGGAGGTTAAAACCTCCCTTCACATAAAAGGGGGTTTGTGATGAAGAGAGAAATTCAGCCACTTCTGCGGTAAGTTTTATGTAGTTCATTTGTCATCATAGCAGTTTAAACCAAACACAGTCCCAATGTTGGGATCCAAAGACTATATTAAACACAACCGATTGTCTTTTCAAGTTGAGAGATCTTTCAAATGTGCCTGTTTTTACTATAAAATATGGCTGTTAAAAACAAATATATCATTCCTTGATGTGGGGCTGGAGGATGAGAAGGACATGGGAGCTAGCTTTTGTCCTGCAGTTTTAAATGGAACATGTCACAGGGAAACTGAAGTTCATCTAGTCTAGGAAGATGTGACCACAGATTTTTGTCTGAAAAACTGAAGCTACCTAAGCCATGTGGTTCCAGTTGCACTGCAGGTTACTTTTCCTCAATTTTTTTCTGTCCTGTATGTAGAATCATGCCATCTGCAGTCATGGCAGGTCCTGTCCTTACTATTTCATGCCTTTTGACATTGAAATGGCTGAATCATTGTTAATTTTTTTTAAACAAAATTTTTATTTTGTTGTTTTCAGTCACTGATTGATCCTTTTTTCACTTCCTTTTTCCCCTGTCTCTCTGTGCTTCGCTGGACATGGCCCATAGGGGAGTTCTCAGGTGTGTATCTCTCTGTTCAGTTTCCTTGTTTGCTTCTTTTTCTTTTCCTTGTTGAGTTTAGATCGAATGATGTGGTATACACATGTGATACTCCCCTACTGTTGTCCAATCACAGTTGGCTTTGCAGACTTTGTCCTGCCCTTTCCTTGTTTGGTTGCCTTGCACTAATAGGTCCCAACACGATAGGACATCTCTGCTTTATGCTTTACATGCCTGCTACATTTTGGTAAACTTTTTTTTATGGCTGTCTGCAGGTTCACTCCACTCTCTACATTGACTTGTCTCTTAAGGACCTTGGGGAAGCCTTGCTGTGTCTTTCCCTTTACTCTGGGATGGAAAGTTTCTTTTTGTCAGAGAAGGAACCTTTTGTCAGGTTCTGTGCAACCCAAGTCCATTCCAGGTGTGCACAGAAATCTAGTTTAGGTTCTTCTCCTTCCCTTACATGAATGAAGTTTTGAGGAATCTGTCTGCTTGTTCAACACCTGATCTAGACTTGGGTAATGCATGTATCCCCTTCTCCAGAACAGCAGTAAGGCAGTAGATTGCTTGTTTCTTCCTAGATGGATTTGAAAGTGGCAAATCTGCTTTTTATGGAAGGCTTGTTCTCTTGGCAGGATAGTTTGAAGATGGTATCTCTGTGCCTTCCTTTTATATTTTTTGTGTGTGTAGAAGAGACTTACCACCATAGAGCCCCACTCTGTCATCAGAAGAAGTCACCGGGAGGCCTAAACATGCAGAATTTTCCCCTTTTCTTAAAATGTAGTTAAGTCCTGATCCAATTCCTATTTAGGTCAATAGGAATTTTTCTCTTGACTTCAGTGCAAGTTGGATCAGGCCTTTGCCAGCTATCTCATGGCAGTTTTCTTATGTAGACATCAGTGTGTTGAAAGATAGTCCTGTGAACATAATCCTGTGAAATGCTCAG